GTAACGCCGATAGTCATGACTTGTGCGACCAATAGACGTGACTTTCCTTTAGACATCCAGGATGCTGATGAAGAACGTTGTTGGCTACTTTGAGATGTCATCTTATGTGCCTCAGCATCATGCTTCGGTGCCCCCAATGAGGTCAGGTTGATGACAGACTCACACCTTGGATGCTCCCCTTGCTCTTTTAGCGGCACCAATTTTGAAGTGGCATGTTGAGGAGCGGTTGTGGCGCCAATGGATTGTCCGTTTGCGGCAGAAGTGCTTAGGATCCTTCCCTTAGTGGTTGCAAGAACGGCTTGTCCCTTGCTTGATGCCATTGACTTTGAGGTGTGCTTGGATTCCTTGAACGGAGAAAGAGATGAGAGGTAGAGATTGTCCCACTGGGCGTGCCAATTTGTGAACACGGAAAATTCCTGAAACGAAAGAGACAAGAACGAACGTGCACAAACAAATATTTGTATTTGATGATGATTTTGGGTTACAATCTCTCTCTAATTTGATCCTCTGATTCGATCTCCGTAAGGTGTGTATTTGTGGATGTGTGATTGATCCAAAGGGCCGTTGGGCTTGATCTAAGGATGAACGTTCTTCAAGGGCCGTGGACTTGATCTTGAAGGTGGATTTGAGCGGATCTTCAAAGGGGCTTTTGGGCTTGATCTTTGAAGAACAGTGATGAACGGATCTCCAAGGGCTTTTGGGCTTGATCTTGAAGAACAGTGACGAACGGATCTTCAAGGGCTTTTGGGCTTGATCTTGAAGAACGGTTGGATGTGTGGATTTGTCGACGTTGTTGATCCAAAGGGCCGTTGGGGCTTGATCTTGGATGAACGGATGATGAACGATGGTGCTTTCTTCAAGGGCCGTCGGGGCTTGATCTTGAATTGGTGGATGATTGTTGATCCAAAGGGCCGTTGGGGCTTGATCTTGGAAGAACGATGAACGAAGAACGAAGAAGGCTTTCTTGATTCTTCGGGAACCTAGATGCTTGAGAGCTTCGGGTTTCAGAGCTTCAGAGCTTCAAGGTGTAATATGAATTCGTTTTTCAAATGAATGAAATGGGCTTGTATTTATAGAATTTTCCAAGGCCTAATTTTGAATATAATATCCCAGATGAAATAAGTCGTTTCTGCCAGGTGTTGACACGTGTCCTATTTGATGACTTTTCCAACTCATTTCAATTTTCGTTGAGTCACACGCTACGTGTAAAATTTATGTAATACATGAGCGTTGACACTTTGATTTATCGGTCAACATTTATTTACCGAAATTTCGATGTCTACAAAAACGTATCAATAAAACATATTTTTCGATTCCAAAAGCACTTAAAGTGTTTTCTACAAGAATCACTAATAATGTACTTCTTTCCGGAAGCATTTTAAGTGTTTTTTTTTTCAGGATTTACTTGCATTTTTACTAATGATTGGTTTTAAAACATTTTCACTAAAAAAACTTTCAGTCATTTTGAAAGCACATTTAAACGAGTTTTATACTACATGGAAAAAATTTGGACAAAATATAACCGTTTGATCCAGTGCCCATGTTTTTCCCTCATCCTCGTTGGTATTTGGAGAGGCATTGGCGATGAGGCACCAACTTGCAACGGTCAAGCTTAAAAAAGCAAGGTACAACCCTGACTAGTCATGATTTTGTACTAGTTCAAATTAATATGTTCTTGAAAATTTTCAATGAAAAATATTTCTCTAAGGCTTAATTTATAGAGTTTTGTGGCTGAGATTTATTTAATTATTTGTTCAGATTAGATCTTCCATGTGTATAAAATTCATAGCTAATTAAACAAATCCTTCCCTTTTCTTTTTCTTTCTTCTTTTCCTCAAATTTTATGTGTTCAAACTCATTTAAACAAAATCCAATAGCTAATTAAATAAAATCCACCAGCCATTTTTTGTTTTCACAAGAAAAATACATCTGTAGTTAGACCAAATTTTGAGAGTTAATAAAAAAGACAATTTATCATTTCCCATGATATGTTTTATATCAAAACAAAACCAAAAAGTTTCTATGAATCTGTTTGGACCCAAAATTACACAATCAGCCCGAACGATCGAAGTCGTTGATGAACATAGCTCTCAACCGTTGGATGACATAATAGTTAAGATAATTATTATTGAAGGATATATTGTGGTTTTAATCATGATATAATCTTTTGATGGTGAATTATCTTGATACTTTATTGTACAAGATAGATGAGATGCAAACTATATCTCAAGCTTTGGGACTCTTATCTGGTTAAACAACAATTTGCGTGCAAGTTAAATGTTGGTTAGATAAGAGAACAAAGAGGTACATATGAGGTTGAATGGGTGTTTGACTGATGCCGTGCAAGAGCTGGATGGCATATACTTTTGTCTTATCATGAAGTCTATCAAATGATAAGTTTGATGGAAGATGGTCTTTAAAGTATCAGATTATATAGCGATTAAAGGTAATTTATTATGCATGCATGGTTGTACTTGGACCAACATGGTGGAAAAAGAGAAGTTTTAGTTGGAATAGGATGCATTCATTTGGTCAGGCCATGCATGTGGAAAAGGTATCTTTATCTTTTCAAGGAAAATTGGGAGATATTGGATGGCTAAGGCGGTTCCACACAATCTAATGGTTCAGAGTCAACGTAGCAAGTGATATTCTACAAAGTTAGAGAGGCGATTGGACTTTACAAAGTTATCAGGCTGTGCTAAGCAAAATACAACCACTATAAATACAGAATTGCATACAACATTAAGGCCCCTCCATTTCAACACAAAAACTGCCTTGCGCAACCTCTCGCTCTACGCGAAACCTCTCAATAACCTTGAGATTTTTATTTTCTTTTCCCGCCAACACATCTTCAGTTTGGATAAATAGCACTAGAGCCATAGAATCAGCTGACCGCGGAGCACTTTCAATTTGGATAAACAACACTGCATCGAGGCCGACTGGTTATCTATCCAAGTCTTGATCGAGAAAGATTTTTGAATCCTTATTGGCAGAGGTAATCTCATTAACCTTCTCGACGAAGTGAGGTGTTACAGATTACTACATTCGGCACATTGAAAGCCGAATCTAATATTGAACTTCGCAGAACTAGCAACCTTGTCTTCAGGCTCTAGAACCCAAATGTTGAGACGTGTTCCTTCCTCGGTCGCAGTCGCAAAGTTAAGAAGTCAGCAGCGTGCTCAACGCCACATCCACATATTTTACTCACCGGCTAAGCTTAGCCATCGAGTTGGCACGCCCTGCACATAATCGAAAGACGTAGTTAGCTTATTAATTACTTGGCCTGCGTGCCACGTAGGCTTGGTAATTTTTAGGGTCAATAAAATCAAAGTCTTAGATTACAAAATAAAATAGTAATTTAAAGCTAACATGCGAAGTTTTTTTTTCTTCTTGATTATAATAATTATTGATCCCTTTGCTTGTTGGATTTTTTTTTTCCTTATTCAAAACGAAATTATTTAATAGTGTGGAACCATCTATTTATCTTTTACTCTACTTTTTATATTTCTCAAATAATTAGTTATTTATTGTATAAGAATCAAACTCATGAGTTTAGTATTAAACTCGAGAAATGAAATCACTATTTAAAAACTCAAAATTCTTGGGCCATCTTAAGAGTTTGATTCCTATAAAATTGAATCAAATTCAAAATTTTCCGACCCAATGGGAGGCCTAACTGTCATGATTTAAGCTTAAGCTATCAAAAAAAAAAAAAAAGAAGAAAACTTTACCAATTTAAATCAAACCTCATCAACTAGCTAGTTACTTGAAGTTTATTTTCTTTAAAATACGGAGTAGTTTGTTGAACCTGGTAAATGAAGAAGGCATTTTGAGCAAGTGTTCAACCTAAGTTCACGAGGCTACCAACCTCCTGTGGCGTTATACCAAAGAGGAGTTTTATAGTTGCAACCATAGAAGAGAAGGATAAAACTTAGCAAAAGCAGGAAGAAGAGTGGAAATCAAAGGATTCCCAAGTTGGGAATCCCTATAAATTAAAGAGGTCAGTACGTTGAAGGGGACAACAACGAGGGAAAGAGGGGATGGACTAGGGCAAGAACGCACCAAACAGAGCAAACTTCCTCTAAGTGCAAGAAACCTTATTATTGAGTGATAAGCTTTCCTTTAATTCTCCCCTAAGTTTCCTTAGGCTTTATAAAACTGCCAAAGTATTAGAAACCCTAGATTAGCCATCCTTAAACCATGCATGCAAGCACAAGCTATCTTTCATGATAAATCAGTGACCTTTTAGCTTTCATGCCATGTTTCAATCAGGCAAGTTACAAGTTATTGTAATTATTCAATCCTTGCTAAATCAGAGTCATTGATTCATTTGGAATGCTTCCTAAAACGTGTTAATTTTTTCAAAATATTGTGGGACTTGGTGCCGAAAATGAATCAAAACAGCTGAGAGTTTTTACCAAAGCCCAAATCCAACTCGATCATGCATGTTCTGCCTCCAATATTTTGTCTTGCAATGGAAATGCAAAGATTCATATCTTTAAACTCAAAGTTTAAGAATACACGTTTTTGCATTTGAGATTTGAGTAAAAAATCAAAATACTTAAATTCTTTTTGGACCAAAGAGAAAAATATAAACTTAAAATTTACGTATTTACGAATTTAACTATAATGATTATGACGTTGAAATATAATTTACGTGAGTATATGAAATGCTCTAGGCGGATGGAGTGACATGGGGAATGCTTGTGCAGACTAGTGACAGCAGAGCCAGTCAAACCCCGTAAGCATTACAGCCAAAAATGGAATTGCACCCATCCTGATCCAATTTATGGGATCAAAATGATCTTTTTATTTATCGTGGATCATAAGATCAGAAATTTTTTAATTTTTTAATTTAAAATTAAACATAAATATTATTTAATAAAAATTAATCGTAAAATAGTACGGTTAAAAATAACCAACTAATTAGTAATTATAAAGAGCGAGAAGAGAGATGCCAAAAGAAGCGTCAGCAAAAGCGTAACTAACATTCTAGAAACAACGCACACAAAATTGTCACGCACATCAAGGAATCCATCCCAATTCCCATCACTGCCCACCTGTATATATCAACTCTTAATCCCTCGATCTTGTCACTCCCATTTTAGAAACCAAAGTTAGGCTTGCTTTGCTGCTTCGGCTTCCCGCATCCCCTCCAGTTCCGATGGCGCTTTCCCGGAAACTTGTTCAGCAGCGGAGCTCCGTATTCGGAAGCCGATCCATGTCGTGGTGGCGGAGCGTCGAGCCGGCTCCTAAGGATCCGATTCTCGGTGTCACCGAGGCTTTCCTCGCCGATCCAAGTCCCGACAAAGTCAATGTTGGAGTGGTGAGCCTCTTTCATCGTTTTGAGAGAGAGAATGATTAAGCTTTTGATAAGAAAGAAATTGAAACATAAATTTGTTTGTGTGTTTATATTTTCTCTGTGAAACTCGATTAGCTCAACCGAGACCGGAATTTTCAGAAATTTTGGAAATTCGGTAGGAAACAGGGCCATGAATACAACAGTGAAAAAAAATTCCAGTACTTTTTTAAATTTTCACTTTCTCAGAAGCCAAACAGGAATTAAATGAACTAAAGGAAAAGCAGAGGATAATTTCTTTTGCTATTAATTGAAGGACATGCAAATCCTCACCGGGCTGGACTGTATCTTGTGCTTGGTTGGCGGGATTTTGTTTGATCCGAATCGACGATAATTTGAATCTCAATATTTCTGCAGTAATATTTAAGATGATTTTATCTCTTTTTTTTTTTAATGTTTTATTTATTTTGTAATATGTTTGTCAGTCAACAGCTAACACAGTGATGCTGATTTATCTCTGGGCTATGTTGTTTGTTCATTGCGTTTAATATTTTTTTCATATTTATTTTCTAATTATTTTGTTTAATTAATTAAAGGGTGCGTATCGAGATGATAATGGAAAGCCAGTTGTTCTGCAATGCGTTAGAGAAGCCGAGCGGAGGATTGCCGGAAACTTAAACATGTGAGTAGCAACTAATTTAGCTACATTCATCATTTTCAAAAACTAAAAGTTTGATCCAAGAAGGATACCGAATAGATTGATCCGTCACTTCCCCATTTTTATGCATTTTTAGTATTTTTATATTTATAATTAGAGCTGTGAAATTATTCGATATGTCATCGTGTTTCACAACTTGCCAATGTTTCAGTGGTCCCTTTAAGTTCACCTTTATATTGCCCCACTCAGGCACAAACACATTTGATTCTTTTGTCACGTTGCTCACATAGTGTGCTTCCTTTTCACTATTTGGATTTAGATTCTTAACTTTATTATTCACTGACTCGAATCTCTATCATCCAAGTAATATATGCTTCTGCTTTTGCTGTTTATTTAATTTGGGGAGTACTTGTAGCTAACGGGAGACTTGGCGCAAAACCAAGCGCAATGACGTTCTAGGATTCATACAGCTGACCTGCTTAGTGGGACAAGACTTTGTTGTTGTTGTTGTTGTATTTTATTTGGGGAGTGCTGGAGCTTTATAGAATTGGATGTTTGATGTACTGAAAAACTGGACTAGCATTTGGCAACTTTAGAAGATAATCATGAAGAGTCAGTCCATGCTTGGACGTGTTTTCTTGATAACCAGGTCGTGGTGAATGAAATTTTTACCTGTATATTGTATCATGACTTTGTTATTTGAGTTTCGTAATGTTGTGTCTGGTATTCAATAATTGGATTTGGATTGAGATTTCATTTCCTTCACAGCTGCATTATTGGATGATTAAAGCATGGGTTGTTGCTACCACCCTATATAGCTGAGAGTTGTAGCCACCACCTTACCGAGCTGTTTTCACTTTACCAAAGTATGGGGTGTAATAGTGCTTAGACCTTACTAACCCATCATAACTGTCATATGTTATGGGTCTTCAGTATGGTGCGGTTCTAGTTGCTGACCCTCAATCTTTCTTCATGTATATATCTTCTTGTAATTGTACATCTCAAGATTAGTATACAATTTCCTTATCAAAATCTACACAAAAAAGGGTTTATATAGGATGTGAAATGTAGGAGAAGTCTGTTAGCAGCACTAGCAAAGGAACATGTAATCCTTTTACAAGTATGAATAGAGGGAAGATAAGTAGGTAGAATAGAGTTAGTCAATCTACTGTTCGTAGACACCCTAAACTGCCACTCTCCTTATAATTCAAAAAGCACTCGTGGCAGATAAGTTACTGTGGGAACTTTTGCGCAAAGTAGAAAGTAAGGACTGGAATCTTGCAAATACATGCATCTTTTACATATTACAATAGGAACTAAAGACCAAACACCTTCCATTGTTATCATGCAAGTTCACTTATCTTCTTAACTTCTCCTTATACTAATGTATAGTGATTTACGATTGGTTTGTTCGCAACAGGGAGTATCTTCCTATGGGGGGAAGTGTGAAGATGGTGGAAGAAACACTGAAGCTAGCATATGGGGAGAATTCGGAGCACATCAAAGATAAAAGGATAGCAGCAGTGCAAGCTCTCTCTGGAACGGGTGCATGCCGTCTTTTTGCAGACTTTCAAAAGCGTTTTCGTCCCGAGTCTCAAATCTATATACCAGTGCCAACATGGGCCAAGTGAGCATTGTTTAGAACTTCTTTTATTGCTTAAAAATTTCCCATTTCTCTCCATTCCTCTCCATTTTAACTATTAGCATTTTCTGATGCGGGGCTTCTTAAATGAAATATCAACAGCCATCATAACATCTGGAGAGATGCTCACGTCCCCCAAAAGACATTCCATTACTATCATCCGGAAACTAAGGGGTTGGACTTTGCAGGACTGGTCGATGACATAAGGGTAGAAAGAAACATATCTTACTTTTACATTATTCCACTTGCGTTGTTTTAAAATAATTAATTCTGCTGCTTTAATCTTTCCTGGTAAATATAATTTGCATGTACTTTTTACCCTATATGTATGTTCTCTTCATTGACACCCTGTTCCTTGCTCTGCGACTGGGCATTGTACAGAATGCTCCAAACGGCTCATTCTTTCTACTTCATGCCTGTGCTCACAATCCCACTGGAGTGGATCCTTCAGAGGAACAGTGGAAAGAGATTTCAAAACTGATCAAGGTAAATTTCTTAGAATATTTTCTTTAAAAGTTTTTTCTTCTTTACCTCTAATAACCTTCCGCTACTCCCTTTGGTTAATTTTGATTTTTGTGGTTGATTCAGGAAAGGGGACATTTCCCCTTCTTCGACATGGCATATCAAGGCTTTGCTAGCGGTGACCCAGAGAGAGACGCAAAAGCCATCAGGATTTTCCTTGAGGATGGTCATCTAATTGGAATTGCCCAATCATATGCCAAAAACATGGGACTCTATGGCCAGAGAGTAGGATGTCTTAGGTAATTGTCTATTTCTAAATACAGTCTATTTAATTTGGTACTTTTAATCCTACTGCCTAGTGGCTGTTACTGCAATCTTAATGAAAGTAGCAGCTGCTTGTTTCTTTTGTTCTATCTGTTCCCCCTATCATCCAAGACACGACTGAATATGAACTATGTGATCAATTAGCAATTCTGTAAAGGATGACATAGAAGTAGGACATATTTTTTATGTTTAGTACTGTGTACAACCTTTACATGTGATGCTTAAATTGATTATAGTCAATTTCCGGTATATTTCAATCAAAACTCGATGATTAATCTCGTACATCACTTTGCTTAATATCACACTGGTTTCATCAGAATCTCTGTCCATGCCTTTTACGTTGTGAAGTAAACATAGTTTATATATGATAAATGAGCATTCTTCATATCGCAAGTAGTTTGAACTTTACTCATGCACAATGTGAATTTTTATTTTCTCCTTTAAATGATAGTGACTAGTCTTGTGGAGTAGCATTTGTAGGATTATGGCCATACTTTCTAATGCACTTTAGGTACCTAGTGTACACATGGCTTATATGTCCATTCTACTTATAAGTTATGGAAGTATACTAAGAAAGCAGGGGGTCTTTCGGTACATCTTGTATGCTTATGTTCTTTATGTTTGCAGCGTGCTTTGTGAGGATGAAAAACAAGCCGTGGCAGTAAAAAGCCAGTTGCAGATGCTTGCCAGGCCCATGTATAGTAACCCACCTGTTCATGGAGCGCTTGTAGTTTCAACTATCCTTGGTGATCAAGAATTGAAAACTTTATGGCTGAAGGAAGTTGAGGTAAGTAATTGTTCCTATGCTTCAAAGTTATCGTTAGAATTTCTTATTAAGTCTCATTTTAGAGTAGGATAGATGTATTCTCAACTCTTTACCATAAAGGAGATGCCAATATGTGATCAAACCAACTACCAAGTAGGAGCCCATATCCAAGTATAAAGTAATTGAAAGTGACTTTGGATCTATGTTTATGTACATATGTACAGCTTTAATGAAATACTTTTGATACTGCATGAAAAGCTTTGTTTCAAAGCTAACGTTGAACATGAAATATACGGTAAAGAGTGAGGTCTGTAAGTTGATTAGTGTGTTCTCTAGTTCCGTATAACATGCTACCAGAAGTACCAGTATGTTTATCATGAAATCGACATCTGGAGCCTCCTAGATGTTAAATTGTTTCTGTTAAGTTCAAAATTCTCTTCAGGTCATTAGGTTAAAAATAAGTACTAGCTGAAATATGGAGAAGTGAATAGTGAACTGTAGAACTTCTTTAAAAACTTGATCATCATGTATAGGCTTCTTGTGTTTACCATTTCTGTGATGAACTTCATTCTTTTAAGGTGATATGCTATAACTAACTTACGCTTTTAGCTGGAAAAGTAGAAGTAAAGTGAACAGAGTACACTCCTGGGGACAAACATTTTTATATTTATGAAGGACATCCGACACGCTTGTTTTAGTGTTTCAACTTCCAATGACGGATGTTGGCTGGTTTGCACCTCCTATAAGAAATTTTGTTATGGATTAGCTGGCCAACTTTGGGCTAGGCCTCATTGTCCTGGGAGTGCAAATCTATTTATCCTCTGAGACTACATAAATTGCGTGATTCTACCCTAAAAACTCGTTCTATTATTTTGTTTTTCCTTGGAACTGGGGAATTTGAGGATAAACTTGTATTTCATTCAAGTGTTTCGTCGTAATGTATTTTGAATTCAATTGCTTTTATCCTCTCAAATATGTAACCAATGATGGCATGCTATGCTGAATCTTTGTTTCTTTTATCTTCTGATTTTTATCTCCATCATTCTTCTCTACAGGGCATGGCAGATCGCATCATTGGAATGAGAACTGCTCTACGAGAAAATCTTGAGAAAGTGGGGTCACCCTTATCGTGGGAGCACGTAACTAATCAGGTGTGTCGTCAAACAAACATTACCTAAATTTTAGGGCGCGGGCCTAACGTTAAAGAACACTTTCTTTTTTGTTGGTATTTTCTGTGTAAATGTATTTATAATTAGGGGTCCCTTGTCTGTGGTACATACAATCTGTGTTGCTCGGTCCCTATGGGTCTTCAGCTTGTTTTTAAGTTATGTTATTTACGATCTTGCTGGTTTTTGCAAACAGATAGGTATGTTTTGCTACAGCGGGATGACACCTGAACAGGTTGATCGCTTGACTAATGAATTTCATATCTATATGACTCGCAATGGTCGTATAAGGTACCCTCTCTCTCTGTCCCTCCCTCTCTCTCTCTCTCTCTCTCTTACACACACACACACACACACACACACACGCAGACACACAAACACAAGCAGTGCTGTTGGATATTTCTCACGTATGATATTCATGTGCATGCAGCATGGCCGGTGTTACAACGGGCAATGTTGGATATCTAGCAAATGCTATACATGAAGTCACAAAATCAACATAGAGAATTCAATCGTAGGTCAGTTAGTCCCCAAGGGACCTTAGGAACTGTATCAGACATTGATTTGCTTGTCGTCCTCATCTTCTTATGATAGAGAAGGAAGGATCAATAAACTACAACCGCCATTGGTGCGCTCTTCTCAGTTTCTTCCCCCATTTTTCGATTCTGCAAGGGCGAGCTGTCATCTATACAAGTAGTCCTAAAAGAAGAGTGACATGTATCTCGATAGTTTGTAGTAAAATACTTTGGGTTTTGCCTTCAGCAATAAAATTAGGTTTGAAGTATTTTGTTGCATCAAATCATCATAAAGTACAACCATGATTTAGACGATTACGATATTTGCATGGACAAATTGAAATCTAAATGGTGGGTAATAATTTCTGCAATGAAATTGTGGTTGCATATAATTTCTACCATTGTTGTTCTCTTGGACTCTACAGTCCGAAGGAAATTGTGGTCATCCACAGTGTCATTTAGCTTTTGTCGTACTTTCTCTTACTGTTGGATTAAGATTAAACGATAGGTCATCACAATTTCGTGGACCATGAGATTTAGGAGATTGAGACTCTAATCTCTACCGAGGAAATTTACATTTGAGATTAACACTTGAAAGCGTATCAAATGGTAGGGCCTCTGTTTTTTTTCCCCCTTAAAGGGGGACTAACCGGTGGCTTCGCCACGTTAGTCCTCTTTTTCGGGGGTCAAAAGTCTTATAGAGGCATTTCAGCCTCTTATGACCATCATCGTGTGGTTGATCAACATCAAAAAAGCAAACTCACGACGTGTTGTGTAAAATATAGGCCTGGAATTCGTCCACAACCACTAGATCACCCCATGGTTATTAAATGACGGGGCTTGTTGGCTGCCATAGAAACATGGCTCGTATACCTTCCCCTTCAGCAGCATTGGAATGCCGAATAGGGAGACTGTTAACACGCTACCCTTTCAAGTTAGCATTGCCAAAGAAAAATGATCTCTTTATGTTCAGAATATAAGGTGCAACACTGACTTTTGGTTGCAGAATACACAAATCATGGTCTGATGTTGCAGATCTACGTGTTATAATACAAGTGAACAATAGGGTTATATCTAAGGTCCTATTACAAATAAATGAAGCTTATAACATGGGTTCGGGTTCATGCGTCGAATTTCTTCTCTAGTTGGATTGCCAAGAACCTGCATTCTGCAAGAAGACACCTAAACCGTAAATTTACGCTTTTCACATGATCCACTTGATTCAACAGAGAAAGTGAGGCTTCACCTTCATAATCTCTATAAGGTGGTCCGCTGCATTCCCTCCCGGAAGCAATGGCTGTAGAAGAGTTTGAATTTCTTCAATTCAAAATGGGAATATATTTCAACCTAAAAGTTAACTTAGGCCAAGACTAAGAATATTACTGCCAAATGAGCCGATAATCTGGCACAAGAGCTCAGCAAGGACACCGTCTGACCAGATATTGACGGATGTTGTATATATTCTGTTGCACCAAAGATGAGACCAGGAGCCTGATAATAATGCGAACATATGTATGATATCTTTTCATCCCCCTTGACCTGATTAGAAAGAAAATCACTAGAATCATACAAGGAAACTGATTTTCTTAGCAACGTAGCAACTGCATTAGCAAGATTTTTTTGGTAGCAATATGTTGTGTTGAAGTCGTGCATTGTTTTTCATCAAACCAGACGGGATGGATTATGGTTTTATCAGGAAGTAAACATTCAATGGTAGTGAAAGAAACTGCATCTGGTCATTCTGCTACCAAAGTTTAAATAAACAGTGTAATGATATAGCCGAATAAAAAAGTATGACGAAAGGACGAACGTACCGGAACTTTTGCACTTCCGGGGTCACGAAGCTTAACCTGGTGGGTGAAGGGATCAACTGCCTCGTATATGAATCCTCTTCCCATCAAGCTTTCATTCCTGGCTACCAGTAATCGCCACAAGAGCATTCACCGTTCCTAAAATGATGAAACCTCTTCCCATCTCTCACAATTATTTCTCTCCCTACCACTCTTGATATAAACTTGAATGCATTATGGCAATCCCCACAAATCCTAAGATTCTTAAATACTCTGATTGTGTGTCCAGGAGGAAGCTTCATGAGCCCAAATGCAACTGCAAGCTTCTCACTGTGAGTGGAAATGGCATACTCCTTATGTTCGGACTCCATATCATGCAACACATAATTTGTGTCCGGTACATATCCTAACTTCCTCATTTCAAGTCCTAGTTGCTCCAGATACTTGTACACTGCTTGCACCTCAGGGTGCTTTGTGTCATCAACCAAGAAGACGTGGACCATGTTTTCAACGTCAATCCAACTACAACCAGGCTCTTTCTTAACCCCTCTATCTCTCATTAGTTTCCGTACCTTAGCCACATCATCCCAATAGCCTGCGGTGGCATACAAGTTTGACAACAGTACGTAGGTTCCATCATGCTGTGGCACCAACTCCAAGAGTCGTTCTGCAGCTTGAATTCCTAAATCCAGATTCCCATGAGTCTTGCAACCAGCAAGAAGAGCCTCCCATATTGGTGCACCTGGCTCAAAAGGCATTGATTCAATCAAGTCCTTCGCTTCTGTGAACTCCCCGCACCGACACAACAGATCAATCATGCGAGCATAATGTTCTTCATCGGGGCTAATACCATAAGAATCACGCATTGAACTAAAATAATGGCGCCCTTCTTTGACTAAACCAGCATGACTACAAGCTGAGAGAATGATGAGGAAAGTTACTCTATCTGGTAGCATATCCTCCTTCAACATTTGCTCAAAAAGTCCTATTGCTTGGACACCATATCCATGCTGTGCGAGAGCTGCAATCATAGCATTCCAAGACACGGAATCAATATAAGACATCGTGAGGAACAGAGTGTTTGCATCCTCAACAACTCCGCATCTACCATACATCGTGATAAGTGCATTTGCAGCTGAAAGGCTTGAATCATGCCCCAACCTAATCAGTTGAGCGTGGAGCTGGCGTCCATGCTTCAATGCTCCCAGCGCAGCACAAGAAGTAATAGCTCCAGCAAATGCATAATCACATGGTTCACAACCCTCTAATCTCATTTGGTTGAATAGCTTCATAGCCTCTTCTCCAAATCCGTTTTGAGCTAAACCAGATATTATCACAGTCCATGTTAGAATGCTCCTCTCTGGCATTTCCTTGAAAAAGGATTTTGCTTCTTGGATGCGCCCTGCATTTACATATCCTGACAGGATTGCATTCCAAGAAACAAGATCTCTAACAGGCATATTATTAAAAATATAACGTGCTTCATCAAGTTTATCACATTTATAATATAGTGTAATCAATGCATTGCTCACTGATAATGAAAAATCCAGAGTGGGCTTTGCTTCGGTTCTTAGTATGTAAGCATGCACCTGCTTCCCCAACTGAAATAATCCAATATTAGCACAAGCACTGATAACACTTGTGTATGTAAACTCATCCTGACGAATCCCCAGCAAACGCATTTTCCTAAACAACAACAATGCTTCTTGGAAAGAATCATGACGCACATAACCTGAAATCATGGCATTCCATGCAACTTCCAACTTTTCATCCATCCCGTCCAGCAACTCACGAGCTGCATCAAGGTCTTCATTCCTTACATACCCAGTAATCATTGTCGTCCACGACAGTTCATCTCTCTTAGGCATCTCATCGAACAATTTCCTAGCTTCCCTCATCAACGATGACGATGATACCAATGGCGAAGAAGCACATTTAACATAAACAGATAATAGCGCATTCCACACTGAACTGGCAAACGCCGTTCCAGACTTAACTATTCCACAATGCAGTTGCTTGCACTGCTTCTCGTCATCCACTATCTGCGCCGAGGCACTAAGTACACACGTGAATGTGAAATCGTCAGGCCTAACATCCCCTCGCCTCATGTCGCAAAACAGTCTAACAGCGGCATAGCCATCGTTGTTATGGGAATAGCCAGTGATCATGGCATTGTAAGAAACAGTGTCTCGCATGCTCAACGGGGTTTCATCGAATATTTTACGGGCCAGCGTTAGATTTCCAATGACAGAGTATGCCTTAACCAAGGTCGTTCGAGCAACAATGTCTGGTTTGGGAATTTTATCAAACAGTTGGCGGGCGTAGCTAATATTTGAAGATTTGCAGTAAATATCAATCAAACGGTTAAGAATATGGCCACGTGGACTGAACCCAGAAGCGATCATGTGGGCGTGGATGGTTCGAGCCAAAGAGTGAGAGGTGGGGCTTTGGGGGCAGCATAGCTGCAGCTGAGCTGCGTAACGGTTAGCCACTGTAAACCAAGTGAAGCGGTTGAAAGGGAAGCAGTGCAAAAAAAGCGCCTATTTTTGCAGGCTGCTAGGAAATTCGAAATGGGATCCGAATCTCCTTTTTCTAGGTTTTCTTACCAGTAATGGTGCGGGTCGGGTCAACCTGGATCCAAACCAGTTTTGTTTTTAACTAATGTTTAGGGATAGAGTTGTGCTGAGGGTAGACTTGGCAAACGGGTGTTTTTTGGTCTGGTCGTGTTGTTGGACACAATTCCCTTCCTTAACAAGTTGACACAAGTCGAGATCCCTTCAGGATTTTTATGTTCGGAGTCCATAGATCTGGAGATTTGAACCGTTGAAGTGAGAAAAAAAATAGAACCTAACCTTCAGTTTAACTTTATCATATAATGAACCCTTTTTTAGGTTTTTTTTTTGTTTTTTTTGCAAGGTTGACCCTTAAAAAAGTACTTAAAATACAGACGGTTCAAATCATAAAATCGTCGAACACTACGTTTATGTTCTCAATAGGTTCAAATCATTGAACTTTTGCCCATCTATTGATTTTTATTTTGGATATACTATACACATTGAGAGGCAAATTTGTTATTTGGTTTTACCTCAAAGTTAGAAATAAAATCAACGCTCCAGGAGTAATATTACGTCCCCAAGAAAAATAACTGAGTAGAAAAATACAAAGCAAGAATATTCAGCTACATTAGAAATTATCCGGAAAGTGCAGTACTGAAACGGACGGTGATCAACGATACCAAAGATAAAATTTACGAGGATACCGCAAACAGACGGTAGAAATAACATACGATGATCAAAAGTAAAAGACACGCCGCTACTATTACGCCCCTCGGGCTCCTGCTGGACTTTTTACACCCCCTAATAGCTAGATGCGAACAGCAATACCTTGTACATTTGGCTTTCTGGAATCCTTAACACTCAAAAATGATGTACAGACGGCGGAAGACAGCTAAAATGACGGTTGATAGGACCAACAATTTCCAGGTTAAGCCGGAGAGCCAGTATATGTATCATCTTCGGGAGGCGAGAA